AAGTATAGAGAATCCTTAAAGAACTAAAAGTAGACCTTCCATTTGATCCTGCACTCCCATTACTAGGCATCTACTCAAAGAAAAAAAAAAATAATTTTACCATAGGACATTTGTACCAGAATGTTTATTGCAGCTCAATTTGCAATTAACAAGATGTGGAATCAACCCAAGTGCCCGTCTACACATGAATAAATGAATGAACTGTCCATTCTTTTAGTATTCATTCATGGAATACTAACCAGCTATAAAAAGGATGGAGGATTTTAATACTTTAAATCTGTTGTATTAACCTGGATGGAGTTGGAGAACATTCTACTTAGTAAATAAAGTATCACAAGAATGGAAAAGCAAGAATCTACTGTACTCAACGCTGATATGAAACCAGTAGATTAATAAATACCTACCCCCACAAGAGAAAACACAATTAAACTCAAGGGAGGGGAGGGGACGCGGGGAGGAGGGAGAGAGTTTAGTGTGCTCTCACCTAACAGGCACAATGGAAGGGTATAGGGCACCTGGGTGAGGGCATAATTACAACTTAGACTCCACCTAACAAACACAAACAATATAACCTAATAGTCTGTACCCTCGTATTAATCTGAAATTAATAAAAAAATTCAAAGAGTTCAGAAATAAGCAGTTTTGAGTTAAGTTTTTTCAAGTGTAATGTATTTTAAAAATAATTCAATAGCTGGGTTGGAAGATAAATTTGAGGAAATCCCTAAATGTTGAAAAGAATCAAAGATATAGAAGAGAGGAAAGAGAATATAAGTGAAAAGTAGGAGGTCAAATATATTAATACTAGGAGTGGAAAGACAGAATATTTAGAAAATGTGGAAGAAGGAAATTATAACTATAAATGTGTACACACTAGATATACTTGTCATATATATACACACACTGCATACCTGCATACACGTCTATTATATAGTGTATCTGTATACCCATGTAAATTACATGTAATATGTACATATATGTGTGTATATTTGTATGTATGCGTGTGTGTATATATATCTCCAAAACAATGAAGAACACTGGATACTAGATTGAAGAATTCTAACAAGTTCTTATTTAAAGAACAATAATAAGAAAAAAAAAATCTTCATATCTAGGTGCCTGTGAGTAAATTTTCAGAATGCAGAGAAGATGAAATGTCCCTAAAACCTTTCAGAAAGAAAAGCAGCATTCCTCAGCCCAATCTCTTCATCATCCACACAATGATTAAGTATCTTGATGGTATCAGCAACATAGAAATTAGAACACTATGGATGAATTCCATCAAAATTATGTACAAAATGATTCTCAGCAAAAGAAAAATTTTAGATACAAGTGATTCATCATCATGGGTCACTGTGTAATAAATTCATTTTTTAAACACACAACATCTCAAAACTGTATCTCTGCAAGTGTTCAAGAAAATATTGGAAGGTATGCGCCGACCATAGGAAGGTATAAATCAGGAAAGAGAAGACCCAAAATCTGAAACAGAAGATCTAACACAGAAGGAAGAACAAGACGATTTTAAAATTATGATGAAAAAGATGTCCTATGAACTCCTGCTGCAGAGTGGCCAAGTCCAGAACTGAGCAGAAGGAAGGACCCGGAGGCAGGGGAGGGTGTACGATGATGTTTCTCAGCATAATGTACAGTGTTTGAAATGAGAGAAGTTCTGTGGTTGCTTTTGTTAGAGAATTTGAGAATAAAAGAATGTTTAAAAACAAAGCAAATGGAATTTTAGGAGGAAGAAAATTCTTAGAAAAGAAAAAATGTAATCACAGTCTGATTAGGAAATTTCCTCCCCAATGCAACAGTATTAAAAAGTGAGGTCTTCATGGGGGATTAGGCCATAAGGGCTCATCTTCAGGTGGATCAATGCCTTACAAAAGGGCTGGAAGGAACTGGCTAGGCCCTTTTGCCCTTTCCTTCCCTTCTGCCATGTGAGGACACGATGCTCGTCCCATCTGAAGGATGCAGCCATCCTTGAGGCGCCATCTTGAAGCAGAGACCCAGGGCCTCTGGGGACACTTAACCTAGATCTTGAACTTCCCAAATTCCACAACTATGAGAAATAAGTTTCTATTGTTTAAATATTACCCAGTCTCAGGGGAAAGTCAGTAAACTACATGACTCAGCTATAAATACTATTTATAGAGTGAAGGAATAAAAATATGTCTGCATAGTAATATAGCTGAATGGAATAATGAATATAATGGGAATATATGTGTTTTTGTTGGGGAGAGTGGGGAGGGTGAATTTAGGCGTGATGTTAGAGAGAATTACATCTTCAGCTTCCTTAATAAAAAGTCAGTAGCTTTTACAAAAAAAGAGAGAAAAAGGAAAAGAAATATGAATGACATACATTCTGAGCATATTATTTTGCAATTAATTTAAATAGCAAAAGAGAGCTGAAATACTTATGTTTGTGTGTGTATGTACATGTGTATATGTGTGCGCGTGTGTGTATACGTATGTGTGGTACGTTTTAGGAGTAAACACTACCACAACCAGAAGGTAAACTCTCTTGTTCGAGGGTAGGAGGTCATCAAGTAAATGAAGAGACCAAGAAGTACTATGAAGTCAGAGAATTCAGGACTTGACAGCAGATGAGATGGGGAGAGACGGAGAGTTGCTTCACCATCCTCCCTTCACTCTGTACACCTGTGTCTGCTTACTGTGTGTGTACCAGCAACCTGCAGGGCACACACTTGACATCTCTGTGACCCTACTCTTTCTGCATACTAGTAGCTGTCGGCCCTGTAAAGCATTTTCTGATTCAATAAGATCCCAGTTGCCTCTTTCTCTTGCTCACTTCCAAGAACATTTCTGCTTCTGTTAGGTAGGTGTTGCCTTCCCACGTAGAATCTGTTCTTACCAACTCAGGCCCCTCATCTTGCTTTATTTTTCTGTACAGCTTTTGTTATTACTTGACAATACATCTATGGCTGGAATAGTGGTTTTCACTACAAATACCTTCAGACTAAGTGGAGCATTTAAATGCATATAAAAAATTTGCAAAAGTATAAACTAAAAAATAAAAACAGGGTACTCCGGCCGAGGAAAGTGGGATATGAGTAGTAATAATAGCACTGTCACGTCTACTCTAATTATATATTTCTTACTTTACAATGGACATGTTTTATTATTGTATTTTTAAATAGGGGAAAAAAGCTGATTTTTATCATGGAAAACAGAAACTATGCCATCAATGAAACTAAAATGCATTTGAAGGAAATGAGAAATATTATACTAAATCAAGAGAAAGTTTGGGGGAAGCTGTAGCTTTGGAAACAGTTTCTGACGAGTGAGGTGAGTACTTCAAAGGGTGAAGTTGAAGATGATACTTAAGAAGCTGAAAAACAGAGGCAGAAAAACCATATACGGAATGTTTAGGGGGAGGTAGGGGCGAACTGAGGCCTGAGGCCGCAGGAGAGACAGCTGGCTCAGTGGTAGTAGAGAAACCTTCCTTGGCAGACTAGGAGTGTGTTTTGTCCTGTTATGTCTTGGGTGACTTCTGAAATGACTTTCCCCATGCAAGAATCCATGCAGTCCTGGAACTTGGCAGATACAGATTCTTATCTTTGTTTAAGTCACAGTTCACAACAGAATTAGGAAGATGCCCATTATCTCCTGGTGCCTATTATCTACCCCCTCATCCTCCAAAATTACAAAAATAACTTGCTCTGTCTTTTTTTTTTTTTTTTGCATTAATGTTGTAAAATAGGAAAGAAGAACCCTTCACCAGGCAGATAAAAACCCATTTCCAGGAAAAGTAAACATTTTATGAAACCATAATGGGAGGATGTGTCAAAGCACACAGTTCTCTTGGATAGAAATGATTATCTTCTGGAGGTGATGGTGACCTGGCTGTTGCACCCACCACCTTGAGTTGCTGAGGGAGAGAGAAGCAGCAATCATTTGTATTATGATGTTATTATTTCAAAGCCCTTTCACCTTCTTTACACCATTCCTCTGAGATAAATAGAGCTGGGGTAATGACTCTCAAAAGCACAGATTATATGATTAAGACAGGGAGGTTAAATGGATTGCCTAAGGTCCCCTAAGCTGACCAAGAACTTAGGTTTTCACAGGCTCCAAGAGACATGGGTAAGGCTGATTCTGTCACTGCCAGGTAGCTGTGCAAACTCGCGGATAATTTACCTCCCTCACAACACCGTCATGAATACTGAATGGTTTTCAACATTACTTTTGTTAATATACTTTTATTCGACGCAAATTTTGGAGAAGGGGGTGTGTTAAACATTTTATAAGCATTCTCTGATTGATTCGTCATAGTGATGTATAGTCCAGAAATATTCCTTTGGCTGTGGAACGATCACACCAGCATGGGGTTTGAGTCCTGGCTCTACTGCTTCCCAGCAATGCAAGCTTGGGTGATTGCTTGAACTCTCTAAGCTTCACCTTCTTCAATTCTTAAAACTAAATGATAGTAATTATTCATATTGGTCTCATATGACTAATTATAAAATCAATGTAAAGATCAAAACTTATCGTAAGCACTGAAATCTACCTACTATTTTTATGGCAATGGTATGATTTGGCCAATAAGCTAAGGGCCATTATAGAATTTTTGTATCTGATGTTAATGAAAATTTTTCATTTTTTAAATGGTGTCTCTGGCTAGTATAGAGAAAACATACTGACCTTTAGATGTTTATCTTGCACTCATCCACCTTTCCCAGTTTCCTTATGATGGCATTAGTTTGTTTTCTATAAACTCTTTTTTTTCTGTTTTAAATTTCAGGTTAATGTGAGGGTACAAACAACCACATCACCATATTTGAATTTGTTAGGGAGAGTCTCTCTTGTAGCTATGTCCTGCACCCCAAAAGTGTGTCACACACTCCTATACTGTGCCCATTTGGTGAGAGCACCCCAATCCCGCCTTCACTCTCTGCCCTCCTTCGTTCCCCCTGCTCCCAACTTGAATTGAAATGAGTTTTTCTCCTATGTGGGTGCGAATTAGATCATCTACTGGCTTCAAAAATATGGAAGGCTTCATGAATTTGTGTGTCATCCCCATGCAGGAGCCAGGCTCATCTTCTCATTATCATTCCCATTTTGGGATACGTGGTGCCACCGCCAGCACGATTCTCTAATCTCTTCTTGTGAACCGATTATCTTGATTTGTGTTTGCATTGAATCTGTTAAAACATTTAAGAAAACTGTAATAAGGACAATATTGGTTATTTTCACCAAGCACCTCACTTAGGGATCAACGGTTCTGAAGTTAGACTTTACAACATCTAAACTAAGTAAACTAAGCACATAGTAAAGTAAGTTGGAAAACTTTACAACTTGTTTTAGTTTATACTAACTCTACTCAGTAAGCCTGCTCATTTTTATCCAGTGCCTTTTCAGTAGATATTGATACAATTATATGATTATTCCCTTTTATTTATTAGCATGACTGATTCCCAGCAGTTTGAACCACCTGGGAATTTTTAAGGATAAATCTGCTATTCTCTTTTTGGGTTCATAGCATGACTCTGCTTCTTAATATCTTATTTAGAGTTTATGTATCTATATATCTATGTATATGTGTATATATATGTATGTATAATATGTATGTATATTATATACACATATGGGAATGATAACTCCACCATTTTCTTATCAGCATTAGACAAGGCTTTAAGTTTAAATCCCTAGCTCCTTTATAAATTAAGTTGAAGTGATTATTTTTCCCTAAAGAGAAGCAGGTTTTAATCAATATTAAGATTATTTTTATTTATAGGTTAGACAGACTCAGCTATAAATCTATTTGTTTCTGATGACTATCTTAATGATAGGTATTTAATTATTTTCCTATATATTATTTATTGATTTCACTTGCTTTTACAGTGAACTAATTTGCATGCTTTATATATATTGTTTTCCTCTTTTGGAGGAAATTAATTAATTTTAGGCTTCATTTTTCTTCATTCACATAAAGACTTTATGTGGCTTTACTCTCTTTTTCCTAATTCTTCTACATAAGCACCCTCTCTTGGTTTCAACAATCTTCTTTAATTGTGAAAGCATTTGTGAATAGGAATTCCCTGAAAATTGCTTTTCAGATGGTTTGTAATTTAGCTTTTGGTTTCCCAAAGTTATATAAATTTAATTTACTTAATTTTTAAATTGTTAAGATATTTTCATCTAATTTTTAACAGTTTATTTTTAATAAAATTATGTTATTATGAGAGATTGGACCTTCAATAATTCGACTTTATTTTAAATCAAGAATTTGTTCCTTGCCAAGTATATAACAAATACAAATATTCTTTGATATAACAAAAATGTATTTTATTTCATAAAATATGTGAAGCAATCTCTCTCATTAAGCTGTGATTACTATTTGAGTCTTGTCTTCTAAATTCTTTCAATTTTTTTCTGATAGAACTTTCCATTTTCAAACAATACTTCAGTCTCTCATCATTATATATATTTCTAAGTTATTCTCACATTTCTAGAGGATTTAGTTTTCCATGTTTAGCTGCTGTATTGTTTGCTGCACAGAAATGTATGTCTCTTAAATGAGTGATTTAAACGTCTACCAGATTTATACTAATATTGTTTAATTGCAATTTGTTCTTGGTCCTTTGCTTGTTTGTGTTTGTGTAATGTCTCTTACTACTTTTTACCTTTTCTTTATGGTTTTGTTGTAAATGGGCTTTTCAAAAATAGCATATAGCTGCATTTTGTGGCTTCAGTTCATCTGACAATTACTGATGTTCGGAATCATGACTAATATGTTTAATATTACTCCAACCATATTCCTATATATTTGCTTCATATTGTCTCCCTTCCATCACACGTGCTAATTTGATCACAGGGTTATTAACTCTGTTCTCACTACTGTAAGCTTGAAAGTCGCTACATAATTTCTTTTATGTTTACTTTTCTCTTCCTTGAACTCAGAAGTTGCAGGTTTCTCATCCATTATTTAAGAATGAGAGACTATTATTTTTCCTTTTTCTTCCCATTTCAATAAAATAAAATTTGAGAACAACTTCTCTCTCCTTAGTCCTCCTCCTCCCTGATTTATTGGGATGAGATCTCTGAAATTATTTTACTTCTTCATCCTCCTCCTTGACCTCCACATTGCCCATATCACTAAGAAAGCTTAGAATTATAAGTTTCAGGCTGGTATTAGTATTTTCTTTAATCTTTTCTTTTTTTAATTAAATCATAGCTGTGTACATTAATGCAATTATGGGGTACAAGGTGCTGGTTTTAGTATTTCTTTTTTAATGTGGTCTTTCTAGCTGAAGTGTATTTATTTGGCATTTATATTACTTACTTTCAAGCTATCCATGCATCATACACACACACATCCATATTTTATCACTTATTTTTGTCTTCTGCTGTCTTGTAGAATCTCCTCTGACTCAGTTTTAGTGGAAGTGCTTTCATACGCATTTTTTTCATATAAAACACACACACACATACACACACACATGTATGTTCCTTTAGGTGACTGATTCAGGTACAAATGGTTCTCTCTCTGATTTTACTGCTCATTACTTTCAGATTTGTTTCTATAGTTTGGAAGTCACGAATTTCATTCCAGGAAGCATTTTGTGCAGCTCCGGAGTTTTCTTAGAGGTTATTATTATTCTTATCAAGGTTATTGTTTCTGCTGGGTCTTGAAATTTACTTGTCCCAGAGCTCTATACTCTGAATGCCTCGTCCATTAGGACATCTTCCCCTGTCTGTGTATTTCTCTTGATGTGTGGCTGATTTTATTTGTTAGCTCACTAAATCCAAACATCACAGAACAAATCCCTTTATTAAAAGGATTTCGTCTATAAAATTTAGATTCAGCCAAAAGGCTGCACTCCAGGATCCGGAAGGACACAGGTGCCCCAACCCCTATGTGGCAGTCCCAATAGCAATAGAAAATTAAATGTTGCTCATCTCTGAGGTTCAACAGGACTGCAGATGGAGAATTCCATTCCGGAACCTGAAGACCAAGGTTATTCCTCCACCTAGTCTCCTCTGCCAGTAACGGGAATGTAGTGAGTCGCTAATCACTGTTCAGTCCTGACTTCTCTCCCCGGGGTTGCAAGATCAAGCACACACATGGCCCTGACGCTGCCCTTCTGTAGCGAGGTTCAGGATCTTTAAAGACACTTCCTCCTAAGATTTGCATCTTCAAGACAAAATTCTATAGTATTGGCCCCCAAATTCTGTCCTGGAAAACAGCAGAAAAAGGCTTCAGCTCCAGCTTTTTATCCTGAAACTTACTGCAGACTGAATGTTCATTTACCTCTCCACTGCCCTGGACAAATGTACAGCTGCTCCAGATGCTGGGCTCTGTGTAGAGTTCAGAGCTCAAGGGACCCTAGAGAGCAGTTAGATCTCCACGTTGGTGCAGTACCTCTCACTTAAGGGTGCATTTTATTCACGATTTTTAACAACACCTCAAAGTATAACCTGCAGAGTCACACAAATGTTCAGAAATCCCTCCATGGCTCCCTTTCTCTCTCTTCCTTTAAAGTACTTCCATAGTACTGGCAAAACTCCCCTTCTGCCCTCTTCATCTTCGTCCCTTCTTCACAATTCCATGCTCCAGAAACCTCCACTGGTCTCCAAGCATTTTTCCGTTTCTTTGTTCTTGTGATTCCCGCACCCTGTGCTTTGTGCATCCCCAGCGAGCAAAACTCCACTCTGCCCTCGCTGTTCACCTGGAATTATGCTACTCCTCTTGTTGGTCCCCTCTACTTCTTGAGGATCAGAACTTGAATAAATTCTGTTTTTAAACTAATTGTGCCTCAATTTCTTTTCTGACTGTGTGTATGTGTGTGTGAGAGATGTGTTTACCTAAGCATTTCCACTAGAACACAAATCCTCAAGACCCTTATGGGACAGGGCTTTATCCTGTTTCTATCCCCAGATCTAACTTAGGCACATTGCAGGTATTCAAATATTCATTAGATTTGAATTTAATTGGATATCATGAATATGCCTCTTATGCAATGACCCTGAGACCCCAATACAAGCAGTAACTGTGAGGGTGGTATATTTGAGTGAAGGTTCCTTTGAACCTGAATCTTACTGTGTATATCTGGCCACTCCTTGCTCTCCATTCACCTCCCCCTGCTCCTTGTCCCCAAGCCCAGTAGTTTCCATTCTCTGCTGCCAAAATACCCAGGGAACGCAGGGGCAGAGTCAGAAGTGTTGTGAAATGCAGCCACGCAGTGTTTAACAAACAACATAACAGAGGCATCTGTCACAACGCATCACCTTCTGTTCCTGGGAGACTTCCGCCAGCACGGTGGCGCGCTCACTGCGTTTTCTCTTCCTCTTTGCTCATTCTCTCTAATTACATGTGGCATTCTCTCTCTATCACACAATAAAAGAGGCCCTCATTTTGGCAGGAAAATGGAGAAGATTGGCTAGGGAATAAATCCTGCCCCAAGCAACATTTCCTTCCCAGACAGATAATTTGGGCCGGGTTACCTATATGGATTGATTTACAGGGATTGAAAGGCCACTTCGTGCCTAAATAAACCCTCCAATTGACAGAAAACCAAAAATATCTCTATTTCCTCACCCTCATCATTGATGGCCCATTTCTGCAGAACCAGATTCCATGTCCTCATCAGTGTCACTCCTACCTACATTTCCGTTGAAACTTCCCTCTATGTTTTCTCAAAAACGGTGCTAGCTCCTACCTTACGCATTTTATAGCCTCTTTACACCCCAAGTTTATGTTGTTTTATGCCCTGGAATGCAAACTCAAGTATAATAATAACATCAATAATAGCAGCCGCTTGCATTTCATACTTAGCGTGTGCCAGGAACCATGCCAAATGATTTTATGCATTTATCTTATGTAATGCTTACAATGATCTTATGAAGGATAAGGTATTATTTTACCCATCTGTTAGGTAAAGAAACTGGAGCGTCAAGGGAAGTTAAAAATAAAGTAAAATAAGAATAACATTGCGTACCTAGGAAGTGGTTGGCGGGAGCGTGATTTATAATCTTTGTTTGTTATAAATATGTAGATTTGGTTGCTAGGCTTTCTCCCTATTCTAAACTCTATGGAGCCCTCCCTCAAATGTGGAGAAAAGCTCAGGTCAGACGCCACCTTTCCTG